AAGGGAGTTGCCCCTAAATATTTAACTGACAGAGTCATTTCTTGAACAATGCCACTTCTGAGTCAAACGTTGCGCTCCGACGTTATTATTTGTACCTGACAAAAACTTGGATCTTAGTCTAAGGAATTTTTCCGTAATGGGTCCTGTTGTCTAGAATGGTTTGCCTATGGACCTTCGTGATCCTGCGTTGTCTGTTATTCAATTTTGTAAAAGGTTTAAACATCATCTTTTTGTCCAAACTTACCCGTGCTGATGTCTTTTTCTCCATTTACTACATTGCTTTAATAAAATGATACGCAATGTACTGTGATAATCGTTAGCGCCTCTGGGATCTTTTTAAAGGGCGCTTAAAAAACACCAATAATATATATATATAAACATATATAATATATATATTATATATATATAATATATGCTATGCAGTGATGCAGTAATTTATGATATCTGTCAAATTTCAAACGTTTTGAATGTTATTTTAACGCTAGAAATTAATGCTTTACCAGCATATATATATTTATTTATTTATTTCTATATAGATATATATATATATATATATATATATATATATATATATATGTGTGTGTGTGTGTGTGTGTGTGTAATGTATATAATTCATTTATATATTTATATGTATGTTTTACATATTAGTTCTATTCATTAGGATTGGGCATGTATATAGAATGACGTCGTATGCTTTAATGTTTGAATTTTATATTAACAATTTTTATGTCTAAGTTTAAACTCGTTTAATCGTCTTTAGTATCTATTATGTTATGCACTAGGCACACACACACACACTCGTCCGCACACACACACTAACACACATACACTAACACACACATTCATGCCTTACACATCGCAATAGATGTACTTTAATATGAAAATAAGGATGAATATGTATTTATATGTCTTCATACTTGTATATATTTATATACCCTCTATAAGATGTACAACTTTGGGTTGTATGTTATCCAGCACATTTCCTTCAGCCCAACCTCTGAGACCAAGCAGTCTCAACATCTCAGTATCTATCTCCATCATTCTCCTATTATATTCCTCATAAACCGCTACGTAATGCCTCTCCATAAATACGATAAACAGACGCTATTTCATATTTACAGATGTGTGTTCATTTCAACATTGTTATATATATATATATATTTATTTATTTATTTATATATATTTATAAACTATTCGTCTGTATTGTAGTTTAAGATCACCAAGAGTTTAAGATACCATTGGATAAATTTAAATATATACATAAATATATGTATATACATTGTTATATTGTTATACACATATACATTTTTATACATAAAAATATATAAACGGCTCTGTTAATCTTAAACAACAGTACAGACGAATAGTAATAAGAATAAATTGTATTTTAATGGGCGTTTATTTATGTATATATCTTGGTGATCTGTTCGATCATGAATCATACATTTCGGTTGTGCGTGGGTATAATACTCACCAAATGTACATACAAATATTCATACACATACAAACAAGCACACATATTTATTTACATATAACATACACATACAACCATTCGCATACACACTTACATACATTCTAGACGCATATAATCAATGTGTAGACGTCGTCGTTTAGAAATGATATCTTTTCATTTGTTTATACAAAATTATTCATTTGTTAATTTTACTTCATTTTTCATACTGTGACACTCCAGGCTTGTAAATATGGCACGCGCGTATACATTCAAATTGAAAAACTTTTTGGGTGAAAAATTATCTTGATTAAAAAAATTCGGTTGAAAAATAAAACCATTAACAACTTAATGGAAGTTGAGGAATGTATTATTTGTTCCTGGAACTGTTTAACTTTCTTAACGTGGTTCATTTATATTAATTATTTTCTAGGATTATCTGATACATTGGAGATGTTAAACAGTTTAGTCGATACCAACGTAGCATTGTGCTCCTTCTTACGCCTTCTAGTTTCAATACTACTTAACCTTTAAATTGATGATTTAATTCAATGAGTCATTCTTTGCTATTGGTTTAAAACAAGCTGTAGATTTGGTTAATTAATATTCATTTAGTTAATTAATATTCAATTAATGAAATATTTTAGGTGAATAGCGGCTTGAACTGAGTCCAAGTGAAAAGCTGAGAATATAAAACTCATTCTCCTTCACACGAATATAGATTTACTCAAACTTTTTATAAGGAATAAAAAATTTAATTTAAAATGCTAATAAATAATATGTTTATTTTCACACAACACATAAACATTAAACATAAACATATTTGTATGTGCAATGTGAATGTATATAAATATTATGTGTGTGTAGTATATGAAGTAATTTATTAGCTAACTCTTAGGCAGATTATAAACATACTGTTTATATTTTAGTACTGATAAGCCTGGGATCGCATTTAACGTTCTGGTACGTTGTGCCAGACTAATTTCACGCACGCTTAACTTACGAATGATTTTGTGTGGTTGTGTGGCACAAACACACACAAACACACACACGCATACACACACACACTTATGCGGTTTTTTTATTTATATTTGTAGTTTAATATGCACGTGACGGTGGTGTTTATCATGGTTGGTTGGCATGTGTATGTGTACGTGTATAATGTTTGCAGACAAATGAATGATTGATTCAATACAAACTTGAGATACAAAACAACGGTCCTATATCTGTTGTTGTTGTTGTGTCGAAAATGTTCAACGTAGAATTACAATTTCGGAAACATTAACGACGTTGCATTTTTCAATGGATCGTGCACATATCATAGTGATGGATGATGATGTGCAGCTCTTATTAAATGACAAACTGTCGAAATTTTAAAAGATAAAAACTGAACTTTAAATTATTTATTTAAAACTTTTTGGTTTGAGATTAGAAAAGTCTATTTTAGGCTTCCACATGACATTTCATACAAAATATTATTATATTAGCATTTGTTGATAATATTTATCATTGAAAATTATAAATATAAAATTTGATAAACGTTAATAAAAAAATTTCATCCTTAAAAAACTACAAGTGCTAATGTTTCTATTGGCTTAGGCATCTAAAATTTGAACACTTATTAATTTATCTTCACCAAGAAACTTAAATTTTTTTCTTCGACTATTCAAAATTTTAAAATATTTGGGACATCAAATAGTTGAGATTATACAAAAAATATATTTACAAAATTTACTTAGTGTTGTGAACATACATTGAGAACATTACAACTCTTCTCCAAGATCAGCTCGTGCCATCACATGCAAAAATGAACATCAGTTGTTTATTGATCAGCGGGCATTTGGTGGGTGTAAATGGTTCTTAGTTTTTTCGCAGGCTTTCGTCATAACACAGGGGTGGGCAAATTGCCGCGTGTGGATCTTGAAGCCATTTTTCGCGGCCCGCGAGGCGTTTCAAACATTTTTGTAAAAAAGAAATTATAAATGAAATAATTAAATCGTCAGCAAGATATTATCACCTAAAAAAAAGTTCGTCTGTCGTCAGCCATAAATGATCATGATGAACATGTTAAAAATTTCCTCTGCCCTGTGTTAACGGTCGATAAATGTACATAAGCGGCCCTCGAAAGGTTAAATAGTTTTCAACGCGGCCCTCACAGCAAAAAGTTTGCCCACCCCTGTCTTAACATGTTAATGATATTTTTAATATTTCATAATTATGCTCAATGTTGAGTTTATTTTGTGTTATTTATTGGAAAATATATCTACATAAAAAAATACTTGGGTTATTTTTATTTACACTAAATTTTTGTAAGTTTTTATTCATTTGTTTCAATATTGACATGCCACAAATTAAAAAAAAGTCAATGATTATCTAAATATATTGCTGGTTTGCATATTTTCCCACACGAAATTATAAAAAAAAAATTTACAATTGCTGTAATGTTTTGAAGATAAAACAGATAAAAATGGCTAGACTAAACAATGATTAGACTAATCTCATAAGATGAATTGATTAATGGAGCGTTTGATTGATGGCAGGATGTATCGCTCGCTCCATGTCTGCTCTTCTGAACTTGGATTTTAAAATTTGCAAGTCAATGAAAAGTGTTATTTGTCAATGTTTTGCCATTTCACAAAAAGTATTTTTGATTTATTTCACACAGAAAATTTGAATTCAGTTTTGTTCTGTTTTGCTTAATTAAACCATGCGTGAAAACCTTTAATTTTTGTTGAAGCAAGTGTTCAATAACAAAAACATAAAAAATAAACATTGTTTTTAAATAATTGCCTTAACGATCTTGTAAAGAAAAGAAACAATTGAAAAAAAACAAAGAAAAGAGGAATAAATTGTGTGTGAGGAGACATGGGGTAATTTGATGCCTGCTTTAACATCCATACACAAAGTCAGTCAGTCAGTGGTCGGTCAGTTCTATTGCTGTTGTTGTTTGTTGTTGTTTGCGCTGAAATGAAAAACTTATTCCATGTATTTTCATGTATTTTTAATGTGTAGAGGCTTTGCAATATAAAAAGTTGAAATTTAATGATGATGAAATTAAGAAACATACAACACTCAAAAAGTTCAAAAATTGAAAAGTTTTTGAAAAAGAAGAAAAAATAGGTTAAAAAACAGATAATAATAATTAAGTGAGGAAGCGGTATTAATAGAAGCAGTGTTATCAACAGATATATCAGCTGAACATTTCCGATGAAACACCCATTATGTATGCCATGTGCATGCTCCACCAGGACTTGTTTATAATTAAATAAGACTTGAGGCATTGTTATTGTTAAAGAGTCATATTAGGCTTTCCTGTTTGAGGCTGCTTTGAGTGAATGTGGAAGAGTGCATGCAGCATGTGAAGTGACTTTGTTGATTAAATTTATTTAATCATATTTCTGTAATATTATTTACCTAAATCGTGTCTTAGCTTTACCAAAATAAATATAATTTCTGTTGGATTTTGCTATCCAAGCAATTTCACAATTTCAAAAAAAGCTTATTTTTTTATTAAATGTTTATACATCTATATATTGAGCTGTTTGAAAAAATGCAATTAAAATACTTCTACTTCTTGCAAGATGCCAATGTGGTAAATTAACTTTATCATAGAAAAAATTTGTAAAATTAAAAATTGAATCAACAGGAAGTTATATTTAATCTATAGATTATACTTTCTACGTACGATTAACCACAACATATATATGTGTGTGTGTGTAATCATTAACATTCTTAGTTGTTTCTTATGAATGTACTTGAGTTTGGCGTCTGTAGGGCTTAGAAATTTATTTAAACATATGAATCACCGTCCAATGATATTAACCAGAACTACTTCTCTACTGTTAACTTTTCAAACTTTTACGAATAATATTTCTATAAAATCATTTTAAATTTTCAAAAATCATAATTTCATTTACTTTTATTTTTTATTATTTATTTATTATTTATTTGTTTTCTCAGTTTATTTTCTTCTAATTTTCAACTTTTCAAAAAATTTACAAATATTTTTTTGTATTATTTATGGTTTATAAAAACAATTTTAGATTTACTTATCTGTCATAGAATGAAACTTAACTATTCCGCCGTGCTCTAATTTTTTCCAAATTTTCAAAAACTGCATTCTTATAACATGAAAAGTTTGAAACATAATTTCTCAAACTTAAACTAAAATGCAAGTTGAATAGAATCTAAGAACAAAATTGATGCTAATCATAAGAAAAAACTTGAATTTTAGTAGGCCTTTGCATGCATGTGAGATACGACAGGAATACGAGTCGAGGTTATGATAATACGTTACATTCATCAGTTTGTTCAATAATTGAGGTGTTCCTAACGTTTGTGCAACATTCAACATGAGAAATCACACTTGTTAGCCTGTCTGTTTTTCAACAGAGTAAAAAAAATGAAAAAGTAAATGACTAATGATAATTTTAAAACCAGATATTTGGTTAAATAGACAGACATATTGAAAAACTATGCTGTCGTCATGTAAACAAATTTATTTTATGTTTATTTCCATTGTTTACGTGAGCGCTATTGACTAATAATAAAAAGTAATGAACCTGATCCTATAATATTGAATAGTAAAATAGTGTAGCATATTACTCTAAAAATGTTTATCAAGCAGAAAGGGTTTGTTAAAATGAAGAAAAGTAATGCAGCGCTTCAAAAATACAGATCTCACCTATCTAACAAGTCAAGTTTCTAATGTAATTAAAACTTCAATCACGATTTTTCTGTTGATGTTTTTTATCTGTCAACAAATTTTTCAATTGCATTGTTAATTTATTTCTTGCAGGCAAACTTCACGAAAGATATTATGGCAAGCAGTGCAGTCACAGAGGCAAGTCGTAAGATAGCACCATTCAGATTTGTGAAAGAATCAAACAAGAACAAAAATTTTAATAAAAATATAAACAACTGGCTTGTGAAAGACACAAGAACAGATAAAAACGACAATAACTGCAATAAAATTAATTTCAACGATGGACCCCCAAAAAAAAAAGTTTTTATTGAAACAAGCGAATTAAAAACTGCAGCTCCTTCACATTCATCTAACGATAATTCAGACAAGAAATTTGTTGATTCGTGTAAATTCAGTTTTGGCGAACAATCAAAAAATAATTACAAAAACATTTCGACAAGCCAGAAACTAGAAAAAAGCGAAGATGTTGAAAAAAATGAAGAGAGAAAATTCAAAATAGTTCGCCGGGTGTCGGAAGAGGAACTCGCTGACGGCAGGAGCGTGTTTCAATCGTTAAATGTTCAAAGTGGGAATATTGATGAACCATCAGGAATGATGGAAACTCAATCGTTAATTTTTTCAAACACTTCCAGGCAAAAAAATAATCAGTTGCCAGTTTTAAATTCAAATCAGATGAGTCCAAAAATTATCAATAAAACTAACGCTTTGTCTGTTGAAAACATAAAAACATTTCAATTTAAATTTGGAAAAAATAAAACTATAAATGACAAGCAATTAATGAATGGTTTCAAAAGCATAGCCGTAACCAAAATGAACAATAAAATATCAACCAATCGAAATATAGACAATCCACAAGCAAGTTGTCCTAGACCAGTATCTGTTCATGGTCAAATTCTTAATGAAAACAATTTGGAAAATGAGTCAAATTCGCTACAGTTTATGTATTTTGCAGGAAACAAGCTAACTAATTTTTCACATCATTTCCTCAATAACAATAAAAACAACAGTGATGTTCAAATTGAAAATAATTTAGAAATTAAAACATCTGACACAGAAATGAAAGTGATCGAAAAGGATGAAGAGCACGAAAATCTGCAAACTTGCGTCATTGGTGTTCAAGATAGTGCAAAAAAGAAAATTTCAATAAGAAAACAAAAATATCCCTTCATAGAAAAATTATTTGAACATAATCGACAAAGAAATAGACAAAATTTAAACCTTAGCAACTCAAAAAATTCAAAACCGAAATTTTTGGTTGTGAAGCCATCTAGACGCGATCATAAAAAAGCCGATCTAAACCGAGAGAACTTTACTAACAACGCATATCCCGGCGGTGACGTAGATGACTGTGGAGACAGCAAGTGTATAATATCAAATCAGAAACACAAACCCGTTTCCAAAAATAAAATAAATCATCAGCTTGACTATAAAAATAAAATTAGAGACAAAACGAGCGGATGGTCGTTGCAAGCGGGGAGCACTGACGCAGTCGTTGCAGTAAAGCCCATGAATGTCAAAAGCTCCACCTGTACGCTAAGTAACGGCGATAATCCCTCTATGCAAAAAAACTGTTTTAATGAAGGTAATTTTGAAAATAATGCAAAAAATTTCACGACAATACAATCGAAACTGACCAAATCAAAAAGTTTAAAAATGAATTCAAACGAAGATTTTGAGATGATAAACAAGAACACAAATTTAGAACACAAATTAAAACGTGCTGACATGAAAAGAATGAACAAATTCATTTCTTCACAAAAAAATAATGAAACAATTTCGATGGGCGATCGGCACATAGAGGAAGTAAAGTATGAGCCCAAATATTGCGCAATTAGTTCTCTTTGTGAACCTGTCCCTAATTTTAACTCCGTCGGAACAATTACTAAAATCTCTCCTGAAACTTTATTTGTGAAAAAACTAACTGCCAAACCGATCGTATTTGAAAAATGCACTTTTAACCATTACGATGCAGCTGTCAATCGACAAATTGTCATATGTGCGGCCGTTTTTACTGACTACGGAAAAAATCTTTTACTAAAAAATATTTCTAATTTAAGTCTAATTAGTGATTTCATGCACAGAGTGAAATCTGCAACTACTCGGCGGTACGCTTGCACTTCCTTGAATTTGCCCTTGTCACCAAAACTCGTGATGTTTCCAAAATTACCAAAAAAACTTCCAAAACCGGAAATATATTTAATGAATAATTTGAACAAACTTTCAGATGAAAATTACTGTCAGCACCATTTTGAAGTAGTACAAACCTTAGGAAAGGAATCTAATGTTTCGTTGAAAGCTCTCAAGCACAACGATAGCCAACTTCTAGATGAAGCTGATGAGCAAGTTTGCAAAATGTTTGATTTGAAAAGCGACAGAGAGTCAACAGTGTCGAGTGAATTTGTGATAGAGGTCAATAATTTGGATGACAGCATTAGTTGCAGAGAGAACAAACAACAATTTTCCATGGAAGAAATGGAAATACTGAACAATTTTCTCAAAGAAATCGCGCTAAAATCCCCATCTATTCTAGCTGCTAAAGAAGCATCAAACATTTTTGCTTATGCAAAAGAAGAGTTGAGAAAATTGGAAAAAAAATTCGAGAATAAATTAAAACCTTCAGTCACACCACTGAAAAACGAAAAAAACAAATTTTCCCTTGAAACAATTGACGAATCAAAATTTGCAACGAGCAAAGAAACTACAGGTTCAAAAATAAATCATGAGGACAAACAGTCAAATCCTCGTTCACTGCAGGGTAGAAGTAGTAAAAAATCAATTAAACGGGCTGCGAAATCCCCTACTTACCATGATAACCTTACTTATATTTCTGATCGTTTGAAAAAACTCAAGTTGCTGAAAAATAAGAATAAACATAAGGAACGTTCAATCCATGACGTGAACATTGAGGATGGGGAAGAAACAGAACTGAATATAGATGGAAATGACAAAAAAATTCAGGCGAAGGAGTCAAAAACAGCAAACATTCGAAGTAAATCTACAAATTCAAAAAGAAATATTTCAAATGATATGAAATCCATGAAAAAAAGTTTTGATCTTATAAAAGAAACCAAAAATGTGACACATGATTCAGAAACTGATGATGATGCTGGAAATGAAAATAGCAACCACCAGTACAATAGCAACAATGATGGATGTGATAAAACTGGGAGCAGTCGTTACTCAGACCACAAAATGAACAAAAACAGGAATGCGCTAACGAGATCTATCTCTCATCAAAACAGTCAAGCTTTGCTGAAAATAAACAAAATCAGTGCTATAGATAAACTCATTGAGAAATGCCTGCGCAAAGAAAATTCTGACGACAACGAAGAAGTCTTGGTGAATAACCACTCTGTCAACTCGACGCAAGCACAAATGAAATCAGATGTCCTTGAACCAGTAAAATTGTACAGCAAGCTATCTACTGAGCAGCAGTTGAAAACTAGAGACTATGGTGCAAAAGAAATTAAACCATTCATTTTTAATCCAATAAAAACCCAAACAAAAAACCAAAGATCCACAATTCTTGATTCCCAAAACTACGGTTCAAGTTTGAATGCATCGGCACAGAACGCAAAGGAAAGAGACTTGTCCAAAACAGTAATGCAAATGATGCAAACAGCTCCAGATGATCAGGCAGCCCAAATATATAACTTACATCAAAGAAGAAAATGCTACGTTAAAAATGAGACTAGCAGCGTGCAAACAGTTGCAAACAGCACAACTTTTAATGAAGTCAATCAAACGCGTGCCGACGTAAACCAGAGTAACCTTAACAACCTGGATGGCAAACGGTTTAGCAGAAATGTTGATTTATCTGATTTGTTGTCAAGTGGACTTAATGATGACAATTACAAAACGTACATTCAAAACAAAAATGAGTACAATACAAACATATACAAGAACACAAAGAGTAATATTTTCTATTTTGACGACAATGAAAATGCGAACGAGAAGACGGAAATGGATTCAAACAACTACAACAACTCCGCCATCGAAACCGGCGACGAAAGTGATTATGACCTTGGAAATTTTTATTACACTAAAGAGGAGAAGAAACTCATCAATTACATAATGAACAGTGATCACGTGGAAGATGAGGATAACGGCATTGTATATGGCTTGAAAAATTTCAAAATTATCAATCAAAATAAAAACAAATCCTTCGACCATTTGCAACCAAAAAATGTTTTCGATCAAAAAACTGAACCGACAAATTTTAAATATGTTATGTGCTTAACACCACCATTAAATCACGGTGATTTTATTTGCAACTTTCAAGACAATTTGCCGAATATGACTAACAACAACACATATAGCGACAAAACTAACAACACATTTTTAGGGTTACACCTTGAAGGCTGCAATAACTTTGATATCCATAAAAAAAATTTCGTTGATGATGGAAACCCTTGGAAAGAATATATGGAACTCTTAAAAATTATACAATGCAAAGAGGTGAAGAAAAAACATTTCGAGGGAGTGATGGATATCATCAAGAAAGCAAAATGCATGGAAGTGATCGAAAAATTGGATTCCGAACTGAATAAACAAAGTTTGGATCAAATGTTGAAAAGATCCCACGAATTCCAATATTACCAACCATACGGTTTTCAAGAGCTAAACCAACAACACCACCGACACCAAAAGAGCAAATCAAATTTTCAGCAGCAACTTTTCAAAATACAAGATCATCAGTGTAAAAGTCATCATGAAACTACAGAACATAAAAAGAATTTAGATGAAATTTTGTTGAAACAATTTCAAGTACATTCAACTCGTAACAAATCACTTCAAACGTTTTTTGACTGTCAAAATAATTGCCTTGAACCACTATTTGAACAATTTGAACCAAAGTTCGTATGGGAAAACACGTCAACAAATATGTTTGATCTCCAAAAACTGCATCAACAAAACAACATAAAGCAGGTAGAAAACATTAAAAATGATCTTCATCACCAACAAAAACTTTACAAATTTGAGCAGTTCAAACAACCACCTAACTGCCACAATTCTTTTGAAACTTCCTTGCTTTCAACAGCGACAACAAAAAGGACCACCACCTACATGACGACATCATCGTCGGAAAATCACAACGAAGAATCACATTCCGTTTTCGAAATTAAACCAAACAGTTTTCGCTTAAAAAATATCATTGCTCGAATGTTTACTAATTAAATTATACATAATTTTGAACATTTTGTTTTTGAAAAACAGTTTAAATTAATAAATAATCTCGTGCCAAAAGCAAATATTTTGCTAATGAATAAATGAAAAGTAATGAAATTTAACATGGCAACGCAAATAATTTATATTCATTCTAATTAAATCTTCTTAAATATTGAGCAAAAATACATTTTTAGCATGAAAAGGACTATTTTTTAAGTGTAAGTTGAAAGTTTATTCATTTTATTAATTATTTGTGCAAACACATCACGGTAATTTGTTTAATGCGAAAACTTAAACAAAATTTGGGTTCCAGAAAAACAATCAAGGCGAATTAATATGGAAACACATTTGTTAGTTGAAAACACGATACGCTGGCTGATGAAGCCCATTACAATCAACAACCATTTAGCTGATAAAAAATAATGTGACCAATGTGTTTTTGATGTTATTTCATATAAGGATCGGTTGGTCATTGCCAAACTGAGCTTCAACAATTGCCAAATATACTCTACTGTCCTGTACTTCATTTGTAATTTAAATTGCAGATGATGTTTATATTTAAAAATATTTGTTAAAACATAACACGATATAATATTTATCGAGAGTTTAATAACTATGATAATAAAATGTAAATCAAGATACAATTTTTACAACCAGGTTGATTAAATTATTTTCAATTCATTAATTATTACACTCTCAGTTACGTAAAACTGGCTGACAACTTTCATTATGGTTAAAATGATGTAAGAACCCTTTGTTTCACGATGTCAATCAAAACTTCAAACAAAGGCTGGATGTTAAAAAATATCAATAAAGTCAATTATGGAATTCATATTGAATTAAATTTTCAAAGTTTAGAAAAAATTATTCAAAAACAACACGTTATTATTTTTTTATTCAAAGGTTAAATTTGTATAATAAAAACACGTGAATTAAAGATTTATTTTTGTAACAATAAAACAATGATTTATGAATTATGTAGCCTAAGACTCATTGTGAGGTTTCACTTTGGCTAGGATAATGTAAGAGCACTTTGTTTCACGGAGTCAAACTAAACTTCAAACAAAGTCTGGTAAGTTATATTTTATGAGCATCAACAAAGTCGATAGTGGAGATTATTAACCAAGAATTTTAATGGATAGGAAACTATGGCAAAAATTTGAAGTATTTCAAAATTAGGGTATAAATAGTGGAATCGAAACAATTGTTGTGAAAAAACATTGGAATCAATTGACGATATTGATACTGCAATATTTTTGTTTCTTCTAGATAATTTTATTAACTTTTCTTCACAAAATTCAACTGAAATAATCAACATTCAGAAAAAATTTGAGCTTCAAGGATTTCCGATAAGTTCACTGACTGTTGAAACAGTAAAACATTAATCTCAATTCTTTGAAATAAATACATTTTTTAGATATCATCATAAGAAGAAATGGAAATGTCAAATCTCTACAGTTCAACCAGGTCAAAGTATGGGCCTGATTTATCAAGATCACAATCGGCTCCTCCTCGAATGCAAAGTGATACCTTAACTGATGAATACGAACGTGGAAGAAGTAGAAGTAGGTGGCCGATAACAAGATCAAGATCGTTATCACCATCTCGAAAATCGTCCTCACCATCTTCATCATCTTCTTCTTCACCGACACGCTGTCCGCTGGCAATGACTGGTCAAGATATGTACCAGTCTTACGATTGCTTGCTTTCACTAGATTACACATCTCCGAACGATTCATTTTTGTCGAGAGACTTCAAAAAGAATTCGAAAGAACTTGGGTTATCAATGGATGATGAAAGAGACAACGAAGAACGACAACCAGCTTATCCACTGTCACCTGGACGAGAATCACCACACGAAGAAATGATAAGCTGGAGTTTTCTAAAAAGTATGACAGAGGATAAACTATTGAAAGCTGACAAGAAAGGAGATCTGCGGAAGCAAGTATTGCTCACCAATTTCGGATTAATTTGGCAAGCCTGGTTTTAACAAAAGTTCACGGTACTGGCAAAGAAACTGTATATTATTCTAACGTTACCAAAATAAATAATGATGGCAAGAATTTGGTTCGAAATATTGAAAAATGTAATAGAAAACTATCCAACGCTAGAAATTTGGTAGATTTCATAAATATATATAAGTCTGGTAAACATTAACTGAAATATATATATGGTCAATTAAATGAAATATGTTATATTAGAAGGAAGGGTTTTTTTTAGATTTTTTAACGTTATGATTGCGTTTTTTTTCAATAACACTTTCAAGTTTGTAAACTATGGACTATAAAACATTTAATAAAAGCAATAAAAAGTAAAGTACATGAATAAAAAAAATAGTACATACATTGAAACTTGAAACTTGCACAAAAAATTGAATTAACTGTTTTCAAATGATTTTTAAAATATCATTCATTAAGTGGTGGTGTTTCGGAAAAACTATAGAGAGAATGTTGAAATATTTTTCTGGGAGTCGAGGCTAGGAGTCGGAAACATTTAAACTAAAATGTTGGAATCGGAATTATTTTAACAGACTCCGACGCCCTGATAGATCCACGTTATACAAATATGATAAAAATAATATGTATCACACGTACGCACACACCTCACTCTCCAAACTGTAATCCATTTCAGTGTATAACTTTAACTTTATTAACTTGTATTAACTTTATTTAACTTTATTTATTTATTTTATTATTTTTAAAATATCCATTTCAGTGTATAACTTTAACTTTAACTTTATTAACTTTATTAACTTGTATTAACTTATTTATATTTATTTATTTTATTATTTTTAAAATACAATGGAAGCTTTTCGTTCGCTGGAGGCATAGGAAAGTCAGTTCGCGCCTCTCTATTCTCTGTTTATGTTATGATATTTTATGTTATAATTATGTACGTACATTTATAAATATTTTTAAAAGAGATTTCATTAAAAATTTCACTCCAATGACATAACACCATTCGATCAAAAGTTATTGCTGGCTCGCACTCACCAACTGATTCTAGGACATCGGCAACAAAATAAAATGATGTTTTTACCTTGATTGTAATTTGAAAATAATGATGAATTCAATACGTTGAATAGCCTTTTACTTTTTTAAACGGCTATGAGATTAAATTCTGAATTAATTTTTTAAAATAGTACAAACACGTTCTACTTTAATTTCATGTAGCTCTATGTTTATGTTTACTGACTAAATGATTGGTTAAGAAATCAGAGTGCGTGCAAGCAATGCTGGCTGATAGTGATATTTCACAACTGAACAACACTAATAAGAAGTGACGTTTAAACGCCTTCCCTGAAAATCTTGCCTTTTAAACATTTTTTCAGAGAAAATAATTGAAAAACAGAGTTTGAATCTCGTTTTGTTTTCATCTTTTTTTTCTATTCGTTTATTTTATTTTTAAAAATATTTGATATGCATCGAAGACGGAACTTTTTTATTCAATTAAACAAAAATTATAGTTTAATTAGAATATAATAGTTTAATAAGTTGTGTTGAAGCCAAAATGTTTTGAAAAATAATTTAAAACATTACAACTGACCCTATTCAAAATAAAATATAAGCATAATAACATTTGGGAAGTTTTATTGAAAAAATCTGCCACTTACAGCCAAGGTAGAATTTAAAAAAAAGAATACATTACCTAAACCGATAGTAGAGGAAATCATAAATCGTCTCTAACATTCAGACAACAAAATTATTATTTTTTAATTTGGAAACAATGACGAAAAGTGAATTTTTAAACTGAATAGTGGTCAAGTTTTGTCCAAAATTAGTTTTAGTCTGTATGGAGTTTGTATGAATCACGCATTAACTAAAAAGCTTGTGTTTATGCGTGTATGTGTGTGTGCGGGGATAATTCGTGCAATTTAATTTTAGAGCGTTCCATGGTTTTCTTTCATGTACTACTCACGATCGCTGGTGTAGCTAGTTGACCATATTTCGAAAATGTGTGAATGTGTGTGTGTTAGTGTGCATGTTTTCATGATTTTATTTGGAAGTCAATATAATTCTAGATTGATTATAACCATTGCATTTCGAAAGCAATTCTAGCGTACGAGCCAACTGGTCAATTGCATGTACAATACAAAAATATTTATTAGCAAGGTTATGGCATTTTTGTCTTTTAACAATTTATTAAGGCTGCTCAGAGAAAACGACGCTCGTTTAATAAATTTCAAGTGGATACACCATCCATCCATCAATCCATCGATCATACAAAATAAATACACACTGTATTGAATTACACACACACACACACACACACACACACACACACACACACACACACACACACACACACATATATATATATATATATATATATATATATATATATATATATATATATATATATATATATATATATATAAAGAGAGAGAGAGAGAAAGTAAGAGAGAGAGAGCATTTATTTATTTAAAAAACTTGTTTACACCGATGTAAGTCAGCAAAGCGAAAGAGTACCATATCGCCACAACAGCCTGGAGTGATGCGACAATAATAATATTTGAAGCAATCTTCATTTACTGAGAAAAGCACTTTAGAAAGCCATGTTGTTGTATTTCTTTCGAGTTGTTTCAAATTATACCGAGTGCTATAACTATAACTATAACCATGTTGGTCCCTACTGCGTTTTTTTAAGAAAAGAACTTGCTAAATATAATATTGATAATGGCAATAAACCATGAAGAACAAATTGCTGATTTTTATGTAGCACTTTTTTTTGAAGGTAGCATAAATATTTTATATCATATATGACCCAAAACATTACTTTCACTTCAACTAATTTTTAAATTGTTTTTATCAGTGCTAGAGCATTTATTTTTTGGTATTTTTAGATGTTAGAAATAACTTCTGGCAAAAGTTTTGACTCAAAAATTTAGTTGATTATTTAATGCCGCACCTGTCTGATCTGGCACGTTCGCGTTGTTTTATCGCAGTCTCCTTGTGGAATGACTCCCAGCGTGTTTCTCCATATGATGCGCCTTCCACATCTACAGCTTCATCTCTGAATTTGTTCCCATTTTTTGTATTCTGTTTTGCACGTGATTTGTTATGTTTCTTTATTCCACATGTACGGTACAACAATGATTTGATCTTTGTTAGTTTTTGTGATACTTAGTTGATTTGTCACGGTAAATTTTGAACAAAAGACAAATTAAATTATTGAACATGACGGTTACAGTAATCTGAAACAAACACAAACATGAACGTGATGTATGTTTGATGATAGCATGAAAAAAGTCAGATTTAGATGAAATTTTTTTATAATATTTTTGTTTTGTTTTAATACCAGTGCATGTTTACATTTGAGAATTGTTTTTTTAATAAAAAAATATCTATGTCAACAAAATAATGTTGTTGAATGACACAACTGATGTAAAAATTCAACGATTAAAAAATACAATACAGAATCATTTAGAATCATTTAATATAATTTTGACATTTCTAACTTGAAATTGTTTGAATGAAAGGAGGGCTGGTTTGTGAAGGCCGAACAAAATAATACGCTCCATTCCCTCCTCAGACCAATCGCATAGAGACGTAACCAAACATACACAAAACTGCATTTAAATGGTCCGTAATGATATGGAATGCACGTTGCAGCAAACATTACCTATCTACATCTGTTGTTACAACATCTGTTTGTGTCGCGGGGTTATTAACTTTCCTGCTTGACTTCTCACCAAGCGCTGGAAAATTTGCCATTTTAAATGTGCTAGCAGGCTGATATCCCCACGCTCCTAAAAAATTTCATTCATATTGCATAAACGAAGCTATAAAATTGAATTTATCCACTATGGCGCAAGTTGTATGTAAAACGGTTGGATGAATGGATGGATATATGGTTGAATAGATGGATAGATGGATGGAGAGACGTATAGATATGGTTGGATGGATAGATGTACGGATGGGTGGATGAGGATCAGCGTTTGCCCTCTATTTCACGAATTGATGAGAAAATTATGATAAAATATTATTCGATCAAGCCAGCACACATAATCTTGCAATGCATAACCTTTTCACATAATCTTCAGATGAACTGTTTTTATTTGAGCACTTAAAAGAAGATGCACCGACAAATTTTATAGCGCACTCTATTCACTTCTTTAGAAGCACCTAAACGTACACAATCAAAAACTTTCCATGCGGGCACCAACATAACAATATTTTTTTCTTTCTAAATTTTTGACATTATTTTTTAACAGTTTTATGTGTAGGATAAATTTTTACGAGACTATTCTCTTAACATTCTCGTACAATTTGTTTAAATTTCCTTCGGTATAAAATTGGCTTAAACATTCCTGTTTAAAGAAATTAACCAAAATAGTAAAATATCGCTGGCGGATAAACGCTGCTGTAAGCTCTCTGTCGTAGTTTTACGCACAAAAAGCACGGTAACGATTGTCTAGAAATTCAATTAAATTTGGTGACATTAACTTTTAAACTTGAAAAAATTCCTTTCAGGCTTCTTGTCTTGTGACCTTTCTTGCGCTTTAGTTCTTGTTAGGATAGGATGGTATGTTTGTTTACTTCATTTCAGTCAGGTCTGTTTGTTTTTTCTCTATGTTGAAAAATATTTTGTTTTTATTTCACTGATTTAAATAATTAAATCAATCAAATATATCAACGTTCACTGTAGATATCATTAATTTTATTCAATTTATTTTAAAAAATTATTTTTTTTAAAGCAAAGTTAAAATAAAATTTGTTAGAGATCACTGTACATCTTTTGAAATAACGTTGTCGCAAAAAAATGTAAGTGAGCTTATAATTCATAAATAGAGCAAATTAACATTTTTGTAACATCTTATTGGATTGTTGATCTATTCTTAAAACATGTTCGAAAAAATTTCTCTATAAAGAGCAGAATTTTTTCTGAGAACCGCCCACTGATATGATTCCAATCAAATATTTGTCAAGTTGAAGTTTTGAAAATAGTTATTCATAAATAACAAATAATAAGAGTTTACCATAAATACAATCTAGTTAGTTATTATAACTTTGTTGAGATAACTAACTAGATTAAAATTGGTAGATAATAAATAAACGTACAATATCGAAGCCAGAACTTTTCTGGGAAGAGACTAGGATTTATTTTAGTAAAAAGTTTACAACGGGGACTGTAACAAATTAAATCCAAATGTAAAATCTTAAATTTTACTTATATAATTAAATTTAACCTTAGCCTTAATCTTAACAAAAATGTCCGTTTTGGGTGTCTTTAGACCAAAAGCTTCACCTTTGGCTCTACCTCAGTGTATTCGTATTCAATATTACAAATTTATTGAATAAATTAATTTTTTTCTCATTTGGTTGAATTTGTTGTGTTTTCAAAATGCAAAAAATGTATGAAGGGATGTAAAATAAAGTTTGTTTATTAATGTTTTATTTGCCTACCGCACTTGTTGCACATTGAATTAACATAACATCATGTGTATTTTATTGCGTTTTAAACGATACATTAGCTTGATAGCGTTTTATTAACAATGAAATGCTTTCAATATTTTGCTGCTTGAAAAAACTCTTTCTTTAAATGACCTATTTTATTTTCTGTTGAGTTTTATCCTTGTATTGTCACGCCCAAACCATGTATTCGCTTCTTTGGTATGCTGTCAACGTAGAAGTAATATAGTTTTTTAACGCGCCACATTTATGCATTGACGGTAAAATATCAAAATCCCAAGTAAGCTAATAGCATCAGTTGGTAATCTGACCATTTTTGATAAGGCCCAATCATTTTTTATCTATATATTAAAAATTAGGTATAAAAAACAATTAAAAATTTTTGTTACGTTAATAATTATAAGTTTGTGAAATTAATCAAATTTGAATCACTAGTTACACTCATACTGATAGCGTAAAATTTATCTGTTTTTGTTCTCATTTTGCAAGGACACTTTATAAATATCAAAATTTTTAATGCTGAAATATGGCTTTTACACGCCAATGTTCGTGAGTGGTTATTTTACACGAATCAAGCGCCTAAAACTCCATTCGCTGTTAATGGCTAGTATTTCATCTTTAAATAATTGTATTAACAATGATTTAACTTGTGAATGTAAATATTACTAAATTTCAAATTCAATAATTAATGATTTAAATGCTGAAACATTAGTTTTGCAAAACTTGCTCTTAATATTATGAATATCAATGCAAAAAGTATTTTTCACAAAATGAGTGATTTGAAATTTTTTTGGATCCCTTTCCTTTTCGTTTTACTGTTGTGATTTCTGAGACATCATCTGATGCGATAACGAAAGTATTACTGAAAAAATGAAAGAAACGCCAAATAAGAAAACTTGAATAATAATTAAATCTTAAAACACAAGCAACAGCTTGTTTTATCTGCAATTTATAAATTTTTTTATTACAGTTTATTTCAATTTTTTATTTCTGCCAATAATTTTTTATGGTATTCTTCATCTTTTGCCAGTTCTGTGATCTTTTTGTTAAGAAAAGGCTTGCCAAATTAATCCGAAATTGGTAAGCAGTACTTGCTTCTGCAGATCTCCTTTTTTGTCAGCTTTCAATAGTTTATCCTCTGTCATTCTTCTTAGAAAACTCCAGCTTATCATTTCTTCATGTGGTGATTTTCGTCCAGGTAACAGTGGATAAGCTGGTTGTCGTTCTTCTTCGTCTCTTTCATCATCCAGTGACAACCATGACTTTTTCGAATTTTTTTTAATGTCTCTGAACAAAAATGAATCGTTCGGAGATGTGTAATCTAGTGAAAGCAAGCAATCGTAAGACTGGTACATATCTTGACCAGTCATTGCCAGCGGACAGCGTGTCGGTGAAGGAGAAGATGGTGAGGACGATGTTCGAGTTGGTGATAACGATCTTGACCTTGCTATCGGCCACCTACTTCTACTTCTTCCACGTTTGTACTCCTCAGTATCACTTTGCATTCGAGGAGGAGCCGATTGTGATCAGGTTCATTCTTTGACCTGGTTGAGCTGTAGACATTTGATTTTTCCATTGCTTTTTTAGATGCTATAAAAAAAATTGTTTATTTTCAAAGAATTGAGGTTAATGTTGTACTGTTTCAATAGTCTTGTGAAGTTTTTGTAAATCGTTGAAACCCAAATTATATTTCAATGAAATTTAGTGAATAAAAATTAGTCAACTTATATAAAAGAATCTAAAGTATGACAGTATCAGCAATTGTTTCGAATGATTTCTCTAGAATTAGTCCTCTTATTTATACCCTTCATTTGGAATGCTTTAAATCGATCCCATTGTTAGTCATCCATTGTAAACCTTTGTTAAAGCGTTTTCTTATCGATTTATTAATGCTCTTAAAATATAACTTTTCTCCTTTGTTTAAAGTTTTACGCCGTGAAACTAAGTGTTCTTACATTATCCTAGCTAAAGTGAAAATTCTCAATGAGTCTTACGCCACTTTAAAATTCATAAGCTAGTTTTATATCACGATTTTTATTCATTACCATAATACCTCATACAAGAATTTTTTATTTGTATATTTTTTAAAGGAAATCAACATTTTAATATGTAATTATATAAATATTATCTTGTTGTGTTTAAATAATTTTGTGTATACTACACTTTTGATACAATTTCACTAATATTATAAATTCTGAAAGGAGTGCAGTAATATAATTTACGTCAAAGTTTAAAATTTGTAAATTAGCAAATTGTACTCAATTGCTTTTATACCATTAAATATGATTGGTTCAAATCAAGTATGCTTCACTGTAGAAATGCTTCGCTTACGAAACGTTGTTTACCACGTTAGTTCGTGTATGGGCTTGAATCGTTTTGAAAAAATTAATTCTATAGATTAAATTTTCCAGTTTGAAAGTATATTTCAATATCAGAATGCATCGTAATCATAATTTCCTAATTATTTCTTCGCAACTACCGACCTTGCAAACGATTCAAATTTTTGATAGTTTTGTATCTGTCATCTTAACTAGTAAAGCACGTGTTTGCTTCCTATTGTTGGCGATTCTTGTACAAGTGACACTGAATGGACAGGTTGTTGTCCCCCGTTGTCTGATTGTTCATCCAGTGACAACGATGATGAAGACGCAGATGCTAAAGGAGCCTACGACGAAGAAGTCGATGTTGATGTTTGTAGTAATGACCTTTTCAAATTTCGTCTACTTTTCACGATAAGAGAAATCGTTCGAGGATATGATAGAGAACAAACGTACGACTGCTCCATGTTCTGATTAGTCTTTATCATTGACCAATTTGTTGGCAAAGGAGATACGATGGTTGTTGATGACAAAATGGTGATAAAGATTTTGACCTTCTTATCGGTGACTTTCTTTTATTTTTTTACGTTTATCTTTATCTGTCAATTATTTACTTCTTCGTTTGAATCTATTTCCATTTGATCTTTTTGATTAGTTTATGACTAATGATAATTAACTCCGTTTGACATTTCTCACTATCAGCCTTACCTTTCCGTAACATAATAATTGATTAACACTTTTATTGTACCAATTCGTACAAATCATCTGTCATGAAATATATTCGCTACATTTTGTAGCTCTGAAAACCATATATCATTTTTGGATGGTTGATTTTGCAATAAAGGAGGAGCTGGTTGTGATCTCCAAACATCAGGTTGAGGTTCAGATATTGACCTGGCTGAACTTTAACATTTATAACAATTGTCTTCCGTTGTTCTCTCAAACATTTGCGCTGTGGTTTACACAAATTATTTCCTGGAAAATTTTACAAAACCTTTTGACCCAGAGTGGATATAAATTGTATTTGTTTGACGATAAACATTTTAGAAATTCCTTAAGTGCCATTACCATGATTGTTCACAAAGTAGGCCTCAGCTTAATAAAATTAATGAAGTGACATAAAGAGCAAACTAACATACAATCACTTTTACCTTTTTGTTATAAAAATTTAAACATTTACATTTCGTAAATTTAATTTATTAAAATTTAAAGTGTTTAATAAACTGTTTATTAATAAAAGATGACTAATTAAAAATCAATTATAAAATATAAAAGTGATAAAATGAAATTTTTATCACAGATTAATTTTGACAAAACGCTTTTAAAAATTTAAAGAAATAACACTCATTTCATTAGGTTTTTAGGCTAAAAAATAGCCGTTTGTAGATATTGGACGTTCATTGAATGGCATCTTACAAAGTAGACCAAACATAAATTTAAGTTTTGCGTGAAAGAAATTGTTAGAGCACCGTTGTACATTTTCACGGAAATTTAATTTCTGATCAAGCAAACAAATACTGGTGATTATTTGAATTCATCTGGACATATTGAGTCATGTTTTGTTAGTTTTGATTCCGTCATTTTAATTAATGATGCACGTTTTAGCATTTCCATTATAGGTGGATTTCGTACTGATGGCAATAGAATGACAGGTTGTTGATCTTCGTGGTCAAGTTGCTCATTCAGTGACGACGAAGACGGTGAAGAAGATGCTGAAAACGCCGACGACGACATTTTTTATAATTTTTGTTGATGGTATCCCAAAAAAATGTTTGTCCTTATTTTAACGAGATGGTGTTGATTTTGTTTTGTTTTATCTGTCAAAAAGAGTAATCCAAAATTTTGAAATCCTACTTGAATGATTAATTGTCAAAATGTAGTAATTTATTGGAAATGAATTGAATGTACACAATATTTTGCGTTTCTTTCAAATGACTAAGTCAGCGTATTTATACCCTAGTCTAAATATTGTTCCAGTTGTTGTTTGTTTTAAAATAATCATCGAAAATTTCCAAAATCGATAACTTTGAAATATACGTTTACAGCACTTTATTGAACACCTCCTGACAAAGCGGTTTTCAGTGTCTTGCGTGTTTTAATTAAGAGGTTGCAATGTAGATTAATCAAAGGGTTGTAAACAACTTGTATTGTTTTGAAAGTATACCTTTGTTTTGAATTTTTTGTAATTTTGGTGACTTTGAAAGAATCGTGGAAAGGATCTAAAATTTGATAAAACCGTGAGACATAAATAATGAGACGAACGTAAATTTACTAATTTTAAAAAAATTGTCTGCCACACTACGGTAGATATACGCCTGTGATATATAATAATTAATTTGTTAGAAAGATTTGATGAACAACTCTTTCGTCGTTTCTTTTAACAAGCTTGTCCATAAATATTAATCAATTCTTCGCGTTTGATATTTTAATATAGGCTAAATTGGCGAAGTTTTTGCATTTAGAATGTAGAAAGTTAGGGATATTTTCCGCACTTATTTTTTGTCATCACGGTCTTCCGACATTACTAAAAAGCGGAGTCGTACTCCAACCAGGGTGTCGAGTAGCACAGAGTTGCCAACCTTGATCAGCCACGTAAAACCATCTAAGCCATCTAATAATAACTTCATCTGATGGTTTTACAATTAGTATGTTTGCTTTCTTGTTTGGTTGTACAGTTTGTTTGCGTGCATTCAGAAACAATAATATAAAAAACATTTTAAAAATAAAACTTTCCTTTCATTAGTAAACAAACTCTTAACTATGCGTTTCTGCTGTTAGATATTTCTTCATATTCACATTTTCATATCAACTCAAATACAATGTACATATATATAACAATATTACATTTTATAGAATAGGAATTATCAAACTTGTTTGCTGGTTTATGAGTTATATTATTTGAGCTTATATTATTTAAATTATATTGTGAATGTTCCGAAGGATAAAAAAATCCATTGAAGCGAATTATTTTTTGGTGAACTAGAATAAGATGCCATTAATTTTCTTTTCGGTCGATGGTTGAAATCAAACTTGCCTGACATGTTCATCTCAATCATCTACATTTTTAAAGTTATTATCTTAATTATTTTTCAACGTCTCCAACATTCAACAGTTTTTCATTTCCTCGTCGTTGTCATTATTTTATTATCGTCATCTTCAACATCACGAAAGTCATGTCATTATAGTTATCGAAGTCAATAATTTTTTGTACTCACTATTAACGTAATAAAGTCAAAATAAATGTCTGTCTTCACATCTTTAATTTTATCTTCACTAAAAACTTTTTTGGGGCCAGAAAATTTATCAACTCGACATTAATTAAGTGTCATTTGGTTTTAACAATATGTGTACAAAAAAGTTTCTTCTGTTGTTACATTCTCTCTCGCTCTCTCTCTTATCTTTTTCACTCTTTCTGTCTTTTTCTCTCCTTATTATATACATGTAGGTGTGCGCGCGTGCAAATTTCTGTGTATATAAATATGTTTGTGTGTATGAAAAATCTAATAAGAAAAATTTAAAAGACAAACTTTAGATTGATTAGAGCAACAATTTGGTAGGATTCATACAATACTGTATGAAATGCGGTGTCCTTCCAACATATGTAGGTATAAATTTTATATATATATATATATATATACATATATATATTTACATGTATATATACATACATATATTTTTTTTTTTTTTCAATCCAATTTTATTCGGCAAAAATCAAACCAGGAGATCCAAAAAAGAAAAACTTGTGCAGACCACCTTAACTAAAAAAATAAAAAAAATGTGCCAAAACGAAATGTAATGAAAAATAATGTCCATTTATAAAACAAATACAGGAAGATAAAAAATAAATGCAATTAGTATTTATTCATTATCACAAATTTTTTTCCTAGCAACTGTTTTAAAATTGTTCAAGGAAGAAAATGATAAATTATGAAAACCTAGTTCATTTCAGATAATAACACCTCTTACAAACCAGGACCTATCATTTAATTCTGTTCTACTATTAGGTATTTTCAACATGTTGTTTTGTCTGGTCAAAGAAACAACCCTATCAAAAACAAACAATCCTCTATAATTATCAAAATGCTGGACTTTATATAAAAAAAGTAACGTAATGTATTTATTAATTTGTTCAATATTGAGAAAACCATAGTTGGAAAAAATGAAACTAGTATGATCGCGATAACCTATGGAAAAACAGATTCTTAATATACGTTTCTGAACTATTTGCAATTTGTTGTTTAAATATTTGCATGAATAACCCCAAAAAATATTCCCATAAATTAGATGAGGATAAAAGAATGAGTAATAAAGAGTGATCATTGATTTTAGGTCTAGTTTGTCACGGGATCTATAGATCACCCCTATTACTTTATGTACTTTGCTGAGCACTAGGTTGACTTGTTCAATCCATTTTAAATCACTTTGTAGTGTTATACCAAGAAATTTAATTGAGGAGACCCTGGGAAGAGCAAAATCGCCAAGCGTTATTGCTAAATCGTTAAAAATTTGATCATTAGTTTTGATTTTTGGTCCAAACACGATGAAACATGACTTTTTAGCGTTAAGTGTCAATTTATTATTTTCAAACCAATCGACAAATTTTATTAGCTCATTGTTCATATTAGAGAAAAGCTGATATGGATTATCTCCAGATAAGAATATGTTTGTATCATCTGCATATAGCACGGTATTACAAGTATTTGATACCGAAAAAATATCGTTGACAAATAATATGAATAATAGTGGTCCTAAAATGGATCCTTGAGGAACTCCAGTCAGAATAGTTCCAGTAGCAGATGTAACATCATCAACAGAAGTGTACTGAACTCTGCGTTTGAGATATGAATCAAACCAATCAAAGCTTGTACCTCGAATGCCATACATTTTCAATTTTGACAACAGTAGTGAATGGTCTATGACATCAAATGCTTTCTTCAGATCAATGAAGACACCGATGCTAAAATTTTTCAGTTCATAGTTTTTGAGAAGTGATTGGTGAAGTTCAGCAATTGCACATTCAGTCGACGATTTGGGAATAAAGCCATATTGTTGTTTATTGATTATATTAAATTGTAAAATAAATTTCCACAGTCTATTGAACATTAGCGTTTCAAAGATCTTTGAAAAAATGGGAAGTATCGATATTGGGCGATAATTTTCATAAAGTTTAGGATCGCCATTCTTGAAAACAGGTAGAACCTTTGCAATTTTCATGCGGCTAGGAAATTTACCTATGTTGATAGAATAATTAAATAGCATAGATAATGGCCCAGCTATATATTTTATAGTCTCTTTTACTAAATTGGAGGACAGAAAATCACAATCATAAGTATTACTAATTTTTAGTTTTTGGACAACTGCAACCACTTCATCAGGAGATGCTTCTTCTACATAAAAAGAGTTAATTTGGTTTTGCATGACATCAAGGTTAGTAACATTTGAAGTATTTTTGAGATTATTATTTAATATTGTGCCTTGTTGAATGAAAAAACTGTTGATACCGTTAACTATATTTAATTTACAGTTCATATCTGAAACATCCTGAAAAAGATTGGTGTTACCTTTATTTGTTCCTAATATTTCATTCATAATTTTCCATTTTTCTCTGGTATTGGTACATTTTTCAAATTTATTTGAATAAAACTTTATTATTGCAATTCTTTTCAATTTAATAAAATCATTTCTGGATCTAGCATACAAAGTTTTATTGCATGACGTTGGGTTTTGAAGGTAATTGAGGTAGAGTTTATTTTTATCCATATAACTATTGTAGAGATTGATGTTCATCCAATTTTTTCTAAAACGATTTTTCGTGCATATAACAGGACAATTGAAATTTATAACATCCATGTATTTCGTGAAGAAACCATCGTATTCAGAATCAAGATCAACTCCATACTGAGGTTCCCATTTAATTACAGCTAAATTCTCATTAACTAGGGCAATTTTGTGGGGGTCGATTAGCCTAGTTTTTAAGCAATTGCGTTTAAAATTGAAAGAAATAGATGTAAACTTATCAGGTAAGCCAAGGAAAATTGGAAGGTGATCAGAGATATCTACCAGTAGTATACCCTTTGTAAAGACATTGCTTTTATGATTTGTAAAAATATTATCAATGATGGATGAGGTTGAGTCAGTGATTCTGGTAGATTGATTTATGATAGGGTATAGATCAAAACCAGCCAGAATGTCTAAAAACGTCTGAGAAGCATTATTGTTAACAGCCAAGTTAATATTGAAATCTCCTATTATATAACATTCAGTTTTAAAATTAGTAGAAAGAAGGTTATTTAAAAATTCCTGCAATCTATTAAAAAAGTCGTCTAACTTACCACTAGGCGGGCGATAAATGCATATGTAATA